AATATTTACTTTATAAATTAACAGTAGTATTGTCCCAGAAAGCCAAATTATCTTACAAAACATGAGAAAGGAAGAGGTGTCTTTTCACAGAAGGGTTGAGAATGACATCTCCATTTTCCCCATTTATTTGTAGTGCAGTGCATTGCTGTATGTCCAGTTTGGACTTGAAGTCAGCCATCATCCTACATTACAAGAAAATGATACCCCAAAGTGTGATTTTATTCTATTCTCTGGTTATATTTGAGTTTCAGGTCTTGGCCCAGATTTTTTTTTTCTAACTTTCCATTATAAACTAGGTTACTTCCTAGTTACTTTGATATTTTTATCATAAATTTAATACTTGTAGGCTTTAGATTTTACCACTCATTCCAAACCCTAGCCTCCTATACATATATTTAATTTGTACAGGACGATTCAGAGTAACAATTCAAATTGTGAAAGGAGAAATGAGAATTGATTTGTTATGCTGCACATGGCTTTCTACAAACTATCGTGTTGTATGTTTTTTTTAATTCAAATTATAATTTAAATTCCAATTTGAGTAAAACAGATAAGACAATGCTACTTAACTAGTACATTATAATTTTATAATTTTGACATTTTAGTCTCATTTTCCTTTCCCAAATTTAATAATACATAAGACTTTTCTTAATTTTCTCACAAATAAAGCAATTCAATAAAATGGGTCATTTGGAAACCTGAAGTTAACATAAAAAAAAAAAATGTTAAGTTCCACTATCTGTCCTTTAGAGATATCAAAGTACCTCTAAAAATGTGACTTCAATTTCATGCCTTAGGAATGTTATATGAATATGCTCAATTTAAAATAAGTTCCTTCTAGGACATCAGATTCCCAGAAGGGTTCCAGGATAGATTCACCAATAAATCAGAGTCACATTTGTAAATATCATAGTGTCTCTCTAGAGTAAAAAATAATAATAATAAACTGAAAGAGTAATAAGATCCAAAATGTATAACAGATATCATAATAATGAAAGAGAAACAAAGTGCTCAAAAAGAAAGAACAACTTTTGGTATACACATATAACTGTATGTATGTTTAAGTGTGCAAGATAGATAATCATACTACTAATTTTTTGTTAATTCATCAAACAGAATAGTTTGTGCTGTATTATTTGCTTGTATGTCCATTTGTTATGCTTTGATTTGTAACTTAAACAACTATTTCTAAGATAACAATATGTAATTTATCAACCTGTGATTTCTTACTGATTTTTGTTTTTGAAATTCTGTATTATTTCTACCCTTTTTTCTGTTTTGCTTTCTTTTTTTCTCTAAATAAAAAAAAACCCAAGGCTCATTCACTATATGTATCACCAAAAACTACATATCATGAGATATAAATTTTTATAAAGATATTTCCTATAAGTTTCATCTACTGTCTAGGAATTTAAAAATTCTCAGATTACTCCTATAAAAAAAACTATTACACTGAATGTCAGAGGAAAAAATGTAATATCCTAAAAGTGTACCATCATATTTTCAAAAGATTAATTCCATATTTATTAAAGTAGTATTATTATCATTACCTTTGTTAAAAAGCTTATAACAATGATTAAATATTGGAGGAGAAAGAAGAAAGCAGTCTCATAAAAGGTTATATTGAGTCTTACCTCTGGACTAGAGAGATCAAGGACCCCATTGAGACTGGGTTTTTGTCTGGCTTATTTATTAATATATCTCCAAGCCCCAAGATTACATTTGACCAAGAATAGGCATTTAATAAAGAAATGAATCTCGTGTATACTTTCTTAACTACAATAAGAGACTGTACTCTGGACCTGAAGACTGAGTACTCTACCCCTTGGTGTGATTAGGGCCTACAAATAGCAATGATGGAAAAACATGCAATGATGGTTAGTCTGGTGAAAGAAAATTATCTTTGAAACTTGCTAATAAAGAATGGAGTAAAAAGGTAAACATATTAGGGACTCTTCCATCACATGATTCAGATGTCCTTTATTATACTAAGTGGAGGTAAACTTGGGAAGATTAATAAGAATCCTTTTTTCCATTTCACTTACATCAGAATCTATACATTCATTCATTTGGCAAATTTGTCCATTCTTACGATTTTTCTTTCTTTTTCACTTCTTTACTTACTTTTGACTGGTTCTGTCCTAGATCTAATTTTGGTTTTTAATGTCTTTCCTCTTGATTCTCCAATACTTCGAAGTTTCCATAGTTATAACTTAAAAATCCCAACACTGGGAGTGGGGATTTAGGAATAAGTGCCTGCCTGGCAAGTGGGAGTTTGATCCCAGTAACAAAAAAACAAAAACAAAAACAAAAACAAAAAAATCCCAACCCTCACCTCCATCATCCAATCTTTCTAATACTTCATTGCCCACCATTCATCCTTACTAGGCTACTGAGTGCCAGTTTCATAAAAACCTGAAGCTTAGAATACATTTTGATGGCATCATTCCAAAATGAAACTAACTTTTATTAAACACTTATCTAACTCTCAGGAACTTCACGCAGGTTATTTCCTTACCCACCACAAAATCCAAAAGCTATACATCACTCTCTTCACAATTTTCCATTGAGGAAACTAGTTTAACTTTCCCAAGATCACAGAACAAATTACTAGCAATGCTAGGACTTCCTAGACTATTATAGAATATTGTGTCATATTTCTTTTCACAGAATTATTTGCAACGTTATCTGATTAATTTCTAAAACAAAGTCATAGCTATTTCTTTCTCTTTTCAAGCATAAAAATTTCAGTCTGAGAATTGTGTTAAACCTGTGAAGAATGTATTATAAAAATTTTTTAAACTTCTAAGCTAGTTTTAGAAGACCTATATTGTAGTTCTATCCCATCACTACGTGATGACCCCCGGACATGTTACTCAGATTCCATGTTCTCAATTTCTCATCTTTAAAATAAAGATAATAAATTACGCTTTAGATAAAATGCTTGTTTTGACAACGAAAATAAGTCAGGAAAGCAATAGTGGAATTTGGAAGTAGTATACAAATGTAAAATTATTCCAAAAACTTAGCATGCTATCTAGCTTCTCAGGTTTATTTTTCTTAAATTACTGTTAACATGGTCCTGTTTTACCAATGAACTATGCAACTATTCTGTACTGACTATGACCCCTATGAAATGCAAACTTATAACTATGACCTTCAAACACTTCCATCAAGGTTTACTGTGTATTTTTCTAGCCAAACCGGTATTTTCCCCCCACTTCTAAACAACAAACTGGTCGCCCATCCAGCCCTGTAAGGTCGTCCATTTCTAAATTCCTCCAGTTAATCCTCATTTGATCCTAAACCCTTTAACTGCTTTTTCGACAAGTGACAATCCATAAGCCACATCAAACAGGCTTCAGCCTGCTTTTCTAGGACAAGTTTCAACCCCCCTCCTCTGCTGCAAAAATGGGTTTTGCCCCTATATCTGATCTTTCCTAAATCCTCACACTGCAATTCCTGTGTTTAATTCATGCTTCTCACCCAATTCCCTGATATCTTCAAGATTATTTATTCGAAGTAACCACAAAACACTAATTTATGTTTCTATTCAAGTTTGGGGAGATGAGCAAATCTTTTTACTTTGTCTCTGTATAATAATTGCACTTTGATTCCAAATAGAAATGGCTCTACGTTCAAGCAAGCAAGTTAACTGACACCCCCAACCTCGATGCTGTCCTTTCCCTTTATTTAGGCTCCATTCTTAGTGGTGACTTCTGCTTTCTTCTCATCTCCCTGCTCCCTCCCTGTGCAAACCCGGAGTACCCCCAGAGGAGAACTGGGCATGCTCAGTAGTCACAGCTGAGTCCGGGATGCAAACTGAAATTTTTTGCAGCATTTGAGCCCTGCAGGAGAAGTAAGGGCCGGAAAATACAGTGGCCCAGAATTTGCTCACCTCTCCTATGATATCATTTCATTTACAGATGTATTTAAAGCTTAGGAATGAGCTCCGAAATGAACAATTTACCGCTAGTTTTTCGTCTGCAAGGTGGATCACTAACCTGAGTAACAGAGCTGAGAAACAGCCCCTCCTTTTGGTTTGGAACAGAGTGGGGATTTTTACTATTCTGGGCTATGATAACGCTGATAGACGACGGAAAGGTAGCATTTGGTATCTCTGCTGCGTCAAGAAAATGCTGGGGCTTCCCCCTCCCCTCCTTGAACACAGCAACATCAGCTGCTCTAGACTAAAAAATGATGTTGTCTGAAGATCTCCAAAGTCTGTGAACCGGAGAGATTGTAGAGAAGATAAGAGGTAAATCAATCATTTGCTCAAAAAATTAAACCTGGGCAGCAGTTTAAGGACCCAGAGATAAACAGAGGAGCTATTTGCAAATGACAGCCCAGTAACCTTTCAGATACTCAAATCTGAATCGTGTGTCTGCCCCCAAAAATGTATACCATTTTTGTACATGAACCATGACACATTTCCCTCAAAAAGAAAGAGACTGACAGATCACACACACATACACACACACACACACACACACACACACACACACACACACACACAATCGCTTTCCCTGGTTTCTGCGGAGGATAAATCTCTAGAGCAGCAACAGCAGCAGATTCCAGCACCTCACTGCCTACGGATGAGGCATGGGGAGGAAATTTGTTAGGGATTAAACAAGATAAAGGAGGGCTTCTTTGCACGGACCTGAGAGTCATCATTACCCAACCTGAGAAACAGAAAGATAGGCAGAAATAGACAGGGAGAGAGAGACACACAACTGCCCCTGTGCTAAAAGCTAGCCATTTCTTCAAACAGCAGCAAACATGAGACCATAGTGCATCCATATTGAGAAAAGAGGAAAAAAAATCATGTGCTTTGGTTTATGCATTTCAGTCTCCCGAGATGGGAGGAGACCCTGTCCATATGTCTTTGGAGCTATCCATCACCCCAAAAAGTACACTATCTGCACCTAGCTACAAGATCATTTGCCTGACAGGTTTTGCAGCAAAGCAGTTAATCTATTTGACAGCAGGTTGTCTCTTACCGTAGGAAGCAGCGGCTCCATTTGTGCTCCCTGGTCTTTAATCTCCATGTTTTGTAATGCCTCTGGAATAAGCACCTTGCTCTGCAGTGTCTTCAGTGTCTTACACTCTCAGCCCGGCACTCGCTCTGCTTAGTATTCGGATCAGGTAGCTCTGAAGCAGGAGGCAATTGCACACTCCAACTCACCAGAGTCACATGGCTCCTACTCACTCTCACTGGGGCTGCTGGCCAGGTTTTGCACTGAATGCCTTGGATCCCTGGGCCGGTAAGAGGTCCCCTGAGCCCTGTATCACTGCCCACACCTGGCTACTCTTGTAAAATACAGCCTGCAATGCTCAAGTCTAATGTGCATTAAGAATTTCACATAGGTGCTAACTTCTCATACAACCAAGTTCAAGCCAGTCTTCAACCACCTCGGTCTGATTTTGACACTTTAAGGCATCTGACTTCCTTTCCAGAACCCCAAGGAGGCATAGTTCAAACATGATGATGTTAATTAGAATGTTTCCTAGGTGTTCTGCTCTGAGTACCCAAGTTCTTTTGAAATAGATGAAACAGCCTCAAAATTGAGTTTTTTTCAAAAAGTCTAAACAAAAAAGTCAAACATTTAAATTATTGTTGACTTAATAAGTGGGCAGGTATTTTCAGTACTTAATTTAACTTGTGAGAAACTTATATCATTAAATATAAAATATATTTCTATGATTTCTCAATGAAAATTATAGAGGAAATATTTTGATAATAGTAATAATCAAGATTTTAAGTACACTAAAAAAAATGAAACTGACAGGGGCAATCCTAGCATATATACCTTTGCTTTAAAAGTCTTACATAAGAGTGGTAGGGGATTATCCAAATAACTCATGGAAGAAAAGGAGTCAACCAAGTTTTCTTGTAGAAAGAAGTGGCTGATGATGGTCCCTGAGTAATGGCATGTTTTTCATAAAATTGATTATGTATCTAAAGTTTGTGAGTAATGAAACACATACATCATGGGGACTCATACTAAAGGTATGGAGATTGCACATGAGAAGGGATAAGACTTTCCAGGGCTAAAAGAGGATGACCAAAAATTATGAAGTTAGTTTATTCTAAATCTTAAAATTCATCAGATTTTGGAATCTTTAATCATTAGGAATAAATACATAATTTTTAGCAATACATCAAAATTTTCCTTAATGACTGTTACAGGTAGAATTAGTTATCTGTTTCATTCTCAATAATAGTTCTTAAAATACACTTGTATTATTTTGTAAGAAAATAATTGTTTTTTATACCTTAATTATTAATATATTTACTTTGTTCACAGCACATTGAAATAATATCATCGATTAAGTAACAAGATATCTAACTAGGAATTTACTACTTTGGGGCTCAACTTGGCTTTCTACCAGAAACTGATTAATGAGAGCTGTCTTACCATTCAAATGATCATAACTAGCATTCACAAGTAATACATTACACTAAAAATGACTGCCTCTCTAGAAATATCATTTCTATCCAATTAAGAAACTAAGTCATCCAAGAGTAAAAATTTAAATTACCATTGGCCATATTTTCATACAATATGTTATTAAACCACAAAGGTATTCTGTTGGAACAATCACTGCTTGAATTCTTACTATACACCAGAACTTTCTACCACTAATAGAATTTACCCAGGTTTACAATAACAAACTACTTGTAAAAACCAAAAAAGCCCATATTTCTAAAGGCTTCTGATCCAAGATTTGAATACTAACCAAGCCAAAAAAAAAAAGTGGAGAAAGGGAAAATGACTGTTATTTAATCTACTACCTCTAGCTTATAAAATATCTTAGAATTAATATACAACCTTGAGAGAATACATCCACATACTAAGTAAGACCTAATAAAGAAGTATAGAACTAGAAATACTTGGGGAGAAAATCTTCACTAGACAGTGAAATTTTTACTAAGAACATTGTAAACTACTACAGCTTAGCTTTTCCGTTAATTTACAAACATTAAGGTGGAGAGACACAAAAGAGAAAAAATCCAAATTATATGAGCAATATTTCTCAACACATTTTCTGAGTTGGAGATTGTGATACATACTTGGTGGGGGATAGAAGAGAAATTACCTGGGTGTATACTTATTGAAAATTACTCAGGTAGTTTTTTTTTTTTTTTTCTTCTAGTCCAGAGCTTTTTCCTCTACAGTAAAGTTTCCTTGCATCCTAGATTATTAAAAAATGAATTTTATCTAGCCTATTCTTATTTAGAAAGTCAGTGGAATTCTCTTACAATTTGACAGCCATTTCAAGCATCACATTAAGAACTAAAAGACTGAATTTTTTCAGAGAACAAAATATTTTATGCACCCTATTTGACTATCTGACCTTCATTTCTTTAGTCCTACTATGTGTGAATGTTTCTGTTACTATCTTGTGTCATATCTAGCAATATTAAACTGTAATTTTCCACTCTGAAGAATGAAATAAAATAAGGTTCGGCCACAAGCCAATCATACATAGAGGAAATACAAAAACCACTAAACAGAAAAGCCAACTTCTTTTCCAGCTACTCATACCGTGACCAATAGGAAAAGAACACAGCCACCATGGTGTGTTTCCTTTCTTAATCTATCTTGTATCCTGAGACTAGTGCTGACCTCAATTTGTACCCCAAGTGTACAAGTCAGCATGGATTCAAGGTACTTTCAGTTCCTACCTCCTTTTGCTATTTTAAGCCCTGGGAGGTAAGATATGCACATTAATGCAATGTTTATCTTAGCAAAGAGGCCATTTAATATTGATTGCATTTGAAGAAAACACTGCATTCTAAAGGTTATTGCCAACACTGATACTGAAAGAAAAAATACTTTTTTAGTGTTGGCTTTTTAAGTGTTGTGTTTCTGCCTTAGATCTCAAAGTCTTTTATTTTGAATGTTTTAATGTAAAATGTTAATATTAGTTTAGCAGTGAGTTTAAAAACATATTCTTGGGGCTGAGAATTTAGCTCAGCAGCATAAGCGCCTGCCTGGCAAGTGCGAGGTCGTGAGTTCAATCCCCGATACCACAAAAAGAAAAAAATTTCTTAATATTATTAGATTAATGTTTCAAAGAATTACTAATTTTCACATGTGAAAATCTGTCACAGAACTGTTTATGTACTTACATTTATATAAAACTTATTTATGTTTTATCCATTTTTACCTTTACAGGACTCATACAAATGTCTGAACAATTTGAAGCATATTATATAGATTTGGCAAGTATGTCACTCCAAAAGTATTCAGTTGACGTATACCAACTAAAAAGATATCAAAAAATGCTCTTCCTGACAGCATAAAATAAAATTACATTTCACCACTACAGGAAAGGATGCCCATGCTAAAACCTGACACAAAATAAGGGACCTCATCATACGGTACAATTTAAAAATAATAAATCATACTCATTTTATAATGTTCTTGACATTCCCCAGAAGCTGACAGTAATCGTAGCCATGACCTAATAGAAAAGAAACACATGCAATAAGTAACTATGGAAGCCATCCTGAAATTGAACTAATGTCCAGGTTTAAAAGACCCCCCAACTCCCACTTCCCTTGTATTGCAACTGGTTTTCTTAATCCTGAAAACTGAAATAAAACCTGATTTTCACTTTTTTGCATCAACTTATCTTACAAGGAACTCATACAAGTCCTATTCTCTAAACTGAGGACTACAGAGAAGCATTTTAATCAAATTTAATTCAATAAAATTTGAGTTCCTACCATGTGCAAACACTATGCAGAAATAAATAGGATATAGACCCTGCACTCAAAAATGATCATAACTTTAAAGATATAAAATATAATTGAAAAACTGCTTAAAAATCAGAGGCAAAGCAGAAGACAAAATGACTAGCTTTTAATAACATTTTTCTGACACTTACTATAAAGTTTTTAAATCCTTAAGGAATTTCTTTCTGAAGAAAAAATTTAATATTGCTTTCCTTGTTGTGTAAACACAAAGCATATGCATGCCTCAACTTATTACTTCTCCAATTATCAGTTTTTGAGCTTAATTATCACTGTCTTTGCTAAATGGTTCTGTATGCATCATTTCTATTCCTAAGTATAAAATAATCAATATCACACTTATTACAGAGTTAATCTTATGGCAAAATAATCTTTACATTATCCTTTCAATATCAAGTTATGAAGATTTGTATGAAAATAATCATTCACAGTGTCTCATGTGTGAATTTTACTATACATTCTCAAATTATGATAAATAAAAAACACATTTACTATGGAATTTGCACTCTGTCAAAGAAAGTTGACAAGTATATACGGAAAAAATAAAAACTCAACAATTTCTTAGCTTCATTATAAGCAATCAAGTAATTAGTAAAAATAACATTCACATCTATTTTGTATATGATGTTCAGATATATTATACGTGGTCTTACATAATCAAGAAACCTGAATCCTTGTTCTGACTTTACTATAAATTTCTGAGTTCCACAATGTCTTCTCATATTACTTGTTCATAAGCAAGTGCTTCTTTTTAATGTAAAATGTTTTTAAACTGTAATTTAAATAAACCAGAAAGTAATTTTATATTGACCATTTTTATTAGTCAAGTCAAAAAGATTTATTAAGCATTTGTTTAGTGTGATATGAATATAAAGGCAGTAAAATAAACTAGCAAACCTTCCTTCTAGAAGAAATAGATGATTACTTCAATACACTGAAGTAACCACAGAATGAAGTGTCCACAATATTAACTGATTTTTCAGTCAGAAAAAAAGTGCAGTTCCCTGCCCAAGTTTATTTAACTTTATATAAAAGCACTCTTGGAAGCTTAATCAAATTTGAATGGTTTTCAAAATAAAATATAAAAACTCTTGGAGATATTTTTAAACAGAATTTGTCTCTAATCCTACATTTCTAACAGAAATGTATGTGATTATTAATATTTACTAATTTATTTTATGTGGAAAATTTCAAAGCCCTAAAGAACACAAAGTAGGACATAACATTCTGTAATCCCTGAGTGATAATCAGATAAACACAGCAGCTCCAACTATTCTCAGAATAAAGAGAACCATCAAATAAGAATGTATACTACTCAATTACCAAGTTAGTGGGGGAAGGAAAACCTAAATGAAAATATAACTAATATTTGGCCATGCAAATAAAAATTAAAAAGCCATCTCACTATTCAAAAGAATTTTTCAGAACTCAGAGTGGTACAAAGACAAATATGACAGTCATTCATAACCCTACCAGCCAAAGACAGTCACTTATTTCAGCATGTTTTATGATAGACTCCTT